ACTAAAATATATCACGAGTAAAAAATATTCAAGACGGATGCATACGATTGACTCCATCCGTCGGAATGGGCATCGTTTAATTAGCCTTGGGGTCACAAAATTTCATAATCCGGCCCTAACTCTATCGTTATATCCAAGGCAATATGGAGATGAGCTCTGGTCCGAATAGTTCAAAACTTAACTGCTAGAATCTGTCTTGCTTCTTATTCCCTTTGAGTCTCAAATGTACGAAGGAAGTTCCACTATAACATCTGATTTCCCAAGAACGGCCATTTTGTGTTACAGACTCCTTCATGTGTGCTTCCCTGAAGACTTTAAATTTAATCTCTTCAGTCATGATCTATCCCCCCCTTTTCCTCGTAAGCTTCACTTTCTACAGCTTTATGTTCTTATATCACATATTCATAATTCGTATTTCAAGGGTGATGCTCTACCATGAGGGATTTTCGAGCTTTTTTCTTTCGGCAAAAATTAATAAAAAGATATTATTAAGAGCGTAATTCTTCTATATTCAAACATCTTGGAACTGAATATGGTTCCTAGCAAGGGTGACACTGAATATCTATTTGCTCCCTGCGCTGACCAGTTTGCAGAAGTCACTTATTTTATAACTCTCCCGTCATCATTAAATCAATACTTTTGTTTCTTGTTAACCTAAATGAAATAATTATTTCACAGTAATTTTATTTTTATGCTTTTCTTTATTTGCGTCGCCGATTCTACGAAGCAAAATTGAATCCAATAAAGTTGAATCTTTCCTACGTTTACATTTTTATGGCATATACAATTATGGTCAAATCTAAATTATTGCATTTTAAATGTTTACGATCGCTTTCTACAAGTTAGTCTAATTTACACAAATCTATTAATTAAATTCGCTTTGTTTGATTACTGGTCGGGAAGGAAGTATGCCATTGAGCAGAATAGGCCATAGTCACCCGGTGCAGCATCGGGACTGAATGGTGGATGTGGAAGAATCTCAACACTGTCCATCTTTTTTAAATTCTCCTTAGTCAACCTGGCAGTGTGTGGCCTCGCATTGTCTTGCTGAAACAAAGTCCAACCTCATTTATCACAACGTTTCGGCCGTTGTAAGTTCCGGCCTTCTTCAGGTGGTTGGAATTTCGAACTGAACCTTTTCTTTCGATCGCTGGGGTAGACTGTTCTAGTTCCACGTGCCATGTTTTAATGGATGTCAGTTATCAGTTATCTCCTGTTAATTCCCCTCTCCAAGTTCTCCACTGCCTTACCCAGTTATTGAACTCACACTCTTTGGGTCCTGTCACTGGATCTAACCAACGCTTTTATTCACTGTGCTGTGTGTCCTCAAGGACAGTGGATAAAGGCTGAAGAAGAACGGAGCGTACAACGGCCGAAACGTTGTAATAAATATGGCGACAAAGATGAGGACAATTGTTCGAATAATGTAAATAATGTACATAATACCTCATTTCAGAAATATAGACAGATACCGAAGGGCCGAAACGTTGTAATAAATATGGCGACAAAGATGAGAACAATAGTCCGAATAATGTAAATAGTGTATATAATACCTCATCTCAGAAATATAGACAGCTACTGAAAGGCCGAAACGTTATAATAAATATAGCGACAAAGATGAGAACAATAGTCCGAATAATGTAAATAGTGTACATAATACCTCATCTCAGAAATATAGACAGATACTGAAAGGCCGGAACGTTGTAATTAATATGACGACAAAGATGAGGACAATAGTCCGAATAATGTAAATAGTGTACATAAAGCCTCATCTCAGAAATATAGATAAATACTAAAGTCCGACCTGGATTGACCAAAGCAGGATACTTCTCCTTTAGTTTGTCGTACATGCGGTCTGGCTGCTGGCAAGACAACATTTATGGCGCGACCGTGTAGAACAAGCTGGAAATGTAGTACTCCTTAGAAATTCCACCAGACAGAAACCAAAATTTATTGTTTTCTTTCCGCTTCCTAAATCAGGATTTATGGTCAACCTAATCCATATTTTCATTCGATATCTTTTTGCTTCGTTATTCCACGAATTCCTCTATCTGTACATCTATCTATCCATCCATTCATCAGTACTGAAAACTCCTTTTTCACTTTCAAGTGTTTCACTTCGTCACACACTTACCGTGAATAAATGCTGTGAGTATTAAATACCCCCATTCTTCTTTCCACATCATTTGCTACAAAAATGTCGATTGTTTCTTTCTTATTATTAGCAAGTTTAATTCTGTCCGCTTCAAACTTCCCCTTCCTGTGCATGACGATAAACTACATCCGGCAGCAAGGCAGCTGATCAAGAGGTTTTGAGGAGCGTGAAACCACCTCTTAATTGCTATTGTTACCAGGTCTATACTGACCCGGGGTGGTAGTACCTGTTAGGGTACCATCTATGGGCAAATAGTTACCTCCCAGAACTGGGGTTTAAACACTATGAAAGTATAAAAATAGATTTTTAATAGTTAAAATATCAGCAAAACATTTTTGAAAAACGAAAAATATTACGAGCAATACATCTTGAAAAAAATATTACGAGTAATAAATTTTTGAAAAACGAAAAAATATTACGAACAATAAATTTTTGAAAAAAGAAAAATATTACGAGCAATATATCTTGAAAAAAAATATTACGAGCAATAAATTTTTGAAAAAGAAAAAAGTATTACGAGGAATACATCTTGAAAAAATATTAACAGCAATAAATATTTGAAAAAAAATATTACCAGCAATACATTTGACTTTCGACAAAAACCCTCTTTACAAAAATACGTCAATGAAACCTAATATACAAACTGATTTCTTATAAAGAAAACATTCTATTAATACGAACCTATCCTAAAAATCTTACCGGCATTAAATAACCCATTGAGGTGTTGATATGCCGTAAAACATATTAAACTAAATCAAACCTTAACGCCACTTCTCTTCTCATCTTCTCTGACTATGATACTCTTATCATTCATTGCTTCAAGTCTCCATCTGTGAGGAAATTTTCCTATCGTCACTGCCATAAAGGAGATTAGATATAAGACTTTCTTTTGTCCTTTTCCCACCGCCGTAAGGTTGTTTCTCCGTGTCTTTTTATAAATACCTTCATGGTAATTGTTCGGATGAGCTCATCGCTATGGTACCTAGACTTTATGAATTTAAGCGCAGTATCAGACTGTCGTAGAGATTTCATCAATTTACAGTTGAGCTGGCAAGGAATAACCATAAATGCTATACTGACATATTCTTTGCTCGCTTTCCTCGCTTGTGGAACTCCATTCCGGCTCCACGCTTTCCAGTCGGCTTTAATCTTGAAAAATTAAATGCAATGTCAATCGCTATCTACTGTCTTTCTCATTGCTCTTTCCTCTTACTGTTCATTATTAATATTTCTTTTCCTAATTCTTCCAAAACATGTTTGTAAACCCTTGTGTTTTACTGGCTTTACTGACTTGTGCCGGGTGATACAGATTAAAATAAAAAATAGCAATAGTTCAACACTCTTTTATTGTTTCTAAAAAAAAATTCCGATCCCTTAAGACCTCGCTGAGTTTCAAAAAGGCATCTTCTGATATTCCTTTGCGCTTTCTGTTCCTACACGACTCACGATCGTATCTGCTTGATTTTGATGTCCCCGAAAGATCTTCACAACTTGATTTGCCTCTTTTGCTAACAAGCACGTGTTTTCTTTTTATACTTATAATTTTACAATTATTTTATATTTATTCATTTCAATTCCTTATGTAAAAACATACTTCTCTATCTTTATGAGTTTAGTATTGTAATTAGTTACATAGTTCTTATTTATATTGATCGTACTGTTGTTTTTATCTTTATTGCAGTATTCACGACGTTTCGGCCGTTGTGCGCTCCGGACTAAACCTTTATTTCGTCCACGGGGACGATTGTTACAGTTCCACGTGCCATGCCTTTTCCGAATGTATCAGTTATCTCCCTTTTAACTCAGCTCTCCGGGTATTTGTCCACCATTGCCGCAGCCAGGTACTGAACTCACAACTAATTGGCTCAAGTCACTGGATACAGCCAACATTTTTATACATTTATTGCTTTTCTCTAGCACTCTATATCACTAGTTTCCATATTGTATTTATTTCTATGCTTGGCCGGCTTAGGAGATCTTTGTGACCAAGCATATGTGCTGATTCCTTAAGTTTTCGTATTTTCCCTTTTCGTATGATCTCTCTTTTCCCTCCATATGTGGTCAGCTACGCCTGATTTTTCTATTTCCAGACTGGTTTGAGATTTTGGATTTCATAGTTTTCTTTCTCTATAGTCTTGCTTAGCTACTACTCTTTGAGTAGTAGCTAAGCAAAGCTATAGGACCTAGTCTAGTGAAGGGCACGTAAGTGAATATAAGGAACTCGATTGGAATTCGAACTCGGTTCTCCGATTCCCCAAACCGAGTATCGCTCTTCATCACCCCGCCCTGCTTCTCAGTGTCCTTACCCCCATCTTAAATCTGCCAATTATTATGCGCGTCGCTCAATCAAAAAGCTGTGTTGCTGTTAGTACTCTACGTGAATGGGAAAATACACCTACATAAAAATGGATCTAAATTATATTTTGTCAGTTTCAAAGTTTTGGTGGGTTTTAATAAATAAATAAGGAAAGAAAGAAAGAAAGAAAGAAAGAAAAATTTCGGGAAGAAGTGCCACTTGGCCGGACGTTAGGAAGTTCAGGTCACAGACTTATATTAGCAGTCCCAGTCAGAAGACGCAGGAAGTTCGGATCAACCGTTAGAGAGGTGTCTCAAGCTACGTGCTACACATCATGATGTAGAGATGGGAAGAAGGGTAGTAGGAAAAAGTACTCACCAGAGCGGATCCGTTAACCTGTCATGACAGAAATAACAGAAGTTCTCCCAAGTGTCTCCTGCCTACTTTTAAACAGAGCCAAGTGAATACCTCAACAACAAACTGAACGTTAACTCTTTAAGGATACAACAAAAAATACCGGAAAAGTCCCAGTTTACGTTCAAAAAGAATATGAAAGGTCCGAAAGGAAAGCGCGAAGGCTGTCACGTGACTTAGTTAACCATTTTGCTCCTGTGCGAACTTCGATGTCCTCAGCTTGGTTCAAGCTGCTATTATCACATAATGAGCCCATGCAGTGTTACTCCTATGAGAAACAGTGAAAAAATTCATAGTTTAATTGTTAAATTGTTTAAATTCAAAGTTTAATTGTTAATCAATCATAATTATCTACAATAAGTTATCCTGGATATAACAATAATATATCCGTATAATCAGTTTATATATATATATATATATATATATATATATATATATATATATATATATATATATATATATTGTGTGTATTTAGGCAGCATCTTTTCATTCATACACGTTTCATCAAATAATATAGACAAGTGCTGTCTTTTTATTTTATGTAAATTCTTTTCAGAACGTCTGATAAATTTAATAACATTATCATTGAACGAAAAAAGAAATTCACAATATTGATCCATATTTCTTAATGCAATCTAAGCTTTTGGCTTACATAAAGATCAACTATGGAATATCCTTAAATGTCTATAATTGATAACAGAAGCCATTGGTTTATACCAACGGCTTCCCATACTTCATACTTCTCCAATTCACTCACATGTGGTCATGTGTGACGTCATGAGATGCGGTGCGATTTTCACTTCTAGCATCTTATATGCACGTCTTTATCGTTGCGTAGAAATCATCTATGTAAACAATGACAGACTATCATCACTGTCTTGTCCGTATATTGCTTAATATGTTGTAATTGACATTTTTGATAATTGCTTATGCAAGCCGAAATCTTAGATTGTATTAAAAAATATGGATCAATATTGTGAATTTCTTTCTTCGTTCAATGACAATGTTATTAAACTTATCAGACGTTATGAAAAGAATTTACATAAAATAAATAGACAACACTTGTCTATATTATTTAATGAAACGTGTATGAATATATATATATATATATATATATATATATATATATATACAGGGTGCGATGGACAAATTTTCGCCATTTTATTTTTTTTAATTTCGCGCATGCGCGTTGTTTGTTTTGATTTTATCGACTGCACAGTTTAGTAGGGAAAGTTGGACACGATCTGTGAGTAAAAGATTACCATGACGCAGTTCACTCCGTCAGAATTTTTTTTTTTTAAGCATTTCACCCCAAGCACGGCGGGAAGCCACTAGGACGCAAGGGGTTACAGAAAATATAGAGCGAGATCAGATAGGAGTGATAGAAGAGGGTATGAGGAGAAGGGTAGTGGATAGATCAAGGCAACTGGGGATGTCGATTGACATTACACTTGAATAGCTGGAGATTATAGCTCACAGGGAAACTGGAATAGGGAAGGGAGTTCCACAGGCGAGAGGTGCGAAACATGAAGCTATTAGGGTAGAAGAGACGGCAACATTTAGGAGTTTCGACAGTGAAAGGGTGAGAGCGGGATGCCAGCCTCGTAGGGCGCTGGAACTCATGACGTCTGGGAACCAGCGAATGCAGCTCTTCGGAGCTATTTCCATGAAAGTATTTGTAGAACAGACAGAGGGAGGCGACGGCGTGTCTGTGAGAAAGTAACTGTAGACGAGATGCCAGAGCAGGGGCAATTATATTGCATATCCGCCTCTGGAGCCTATCAAGAACAAATTTGGAAGTGGTATGCTTTACTGCTTGGCATTCGCGCCGGAAGCTTCAATACGAACATTTCAGAGTGTTTGGGCGTCAATGTCAGGGCAATGCAGAGGATTGGGAAAAAATTTGAACGAGTCTAATAGTGGTTACGTTCTGATAAGAAAAGAACTCCCGAATTGAAAACAGATGATCATTCAAGACTAAACATTTTCTTTCCTGGTTTCTATTCTATATTATGTTTCTCTGTACCAAAAGGTAATAAAGTAAATATTAAACCAATTCCCGTTTTCTAATGTTGTTTCTCATGATTCAGTTACAAAAGAAAGTAAATTCACTGTGTCGCGCCAAGCAATTTTTTCCGTCTTTCACATAAAACTACCATTTGTCCATGCATTGAATAATGTTGCCATATCTGGTTCAGAGAGGAACCCGCACGAGGCTTTGCCGAAGGGCAAGGTTTCGTCCGGGGAGGTAGACAGGGCCTGAACCCGTCTAGGCGGGTTCAAAGGCTATATTTTTTGGCCGGGACTACGGGCTCGGGAATACCCACATTAAAACCGGCCTTGTGCCATATTCGGTTCTCGTGGGTGGATCGATAAATACCAAGACAGATAGAGAGGGTAAGACCTCAGAGTCTAGCTGAGTCGTGATACAGTCTTTGACTGTAAGCGACGATGGTCGAACTCTGTGCTTTGGCAGAGAGGAACCCGGACGAAGCTTTGCCGAAGGGAAAGGTTTCGTCCGGGGAGGTAGACAGGGCCTGAATCCGTCTAGGCGGGTTCAAAGGCTATATTTTTGGCCGAGCCTACGGGCTCGGAGATACCCACATTAAACCGGCCTTGTGCCACATTCAATCCTCGTGGGTGGATCGATAAATACTAAGACAGATAGACAGAGATGTTCTTAGCTGAGCTAGTTATTGACTACTCAGGCGATTACTGTACCTTTTTAGCAACCTATTAAAACCCTTTTTAGTGTTACGTGTTATTTGGCGTTTGTCTCTACTAACCCCAAATCGACATTATAACAGTTATATATCTTGAGATTATCAACAAAATCCAAAGAATGTAATGTTATTGGTCCTCACCAAGAATCACGACTTTACTTTCCCACCGCCAAAGTTTTTTTCTTATCAGTATCCATCTTGCACATTTATAAATCTACCATTTGTCTATGCATTGAATAATGTTGCCATATTTGGTCTGGTGCTCCTGTTATTTTTCTTAAAGAATATAATGCTATTAGTCCTCACCTAAAATCACGAGTTTTTTTTCTTATCAGTATCCATCTTGCACATTTATAAATCTACCATTTGTCTATGCATTGAATAATGTTGCCATATTTGGTCTGGTGCTCCTGTTATTTTTCTTAAAGAATATAATGCTATTAGTCCTCACCTAAAATCACGAGTTTTTTTCTTATCAGTATCCATCTTGCACATTTATAAATCTACCATTTGTCTATGCATTGAATAATGTTGCCATATTTGGTCTGGTGCTCCTGTTATTTTTTCTTAAAGAATATAATGCTATTAGTCCTCACCTAAAATCACGAGTTTTTTTCTTATCAGTATCCATCTTGCACATTTATAAATCTACCATTTGTCTATGCATTGAATAATGTTGCCATATTTGGTCTGGTGCTCCTGTTATTTTTCTTAAAGAATATAATGCTATTAGTCCTCACCTAAAATCACGAGTTTTTTTCTTATCAGTATCCATCTTGCACATTTATAAATCTACCATTTGTCTATGCATTGAATAATGTTGCCATATTTGGTCTGGTGCTCCTGTTATTTTTCTTAAAGAATATAATGCTATTAGTCCTCACCTAAAATCACGAGTTTTTTTCTTATCAGTATCCATCTTGCACATTTATAAATCTACCATTTGTCTATGCATTGAATAATGTTGCCATATTTGGTTGGTGCTCCTGTTATTTTTCTTAAAGAATATAATGCTATTAGTCCTCACCTAAAATCACGAGTTTTTTTTTCTTATCAGTATCCATCTTGCACATTTATAAATCTACCATTTGTCTATGCATTGAATAATGTTGCCATATTTGGTCTGGTGCTCCTGTTATTTTTCTTAAAGAATATAATGCTATTAGTCCTCACCTAAAATCACGAGTTTTTTCTTATCAGTATCCATCTTGCACATTTATAAATCTACCATTTGTCTATGCATTGAATAATGTTGCCATATTTGGTCTGGTGCTCCTGTTATTTTTCTTAAAGAATATAATGCTATTAGTCCTCACCTAAAATCACGAGTTTTTTTTTTTTTTCTTATCAGTATCCATCTTGCACATTTATAAATCTACCATTTGTCTATGCATTGAATAATGTTGCCATATTTGGTCTGGTGCTCCTGTTATTTTTCTTAAAGAATATAATGCTATTAGTCCTCACCTAAAATCACAAGTTTTTTTTTCTTATCAGTATCCATCTTGCACATTTATAAATCTACCATTTGTCTATGCATTGAATAATGTTGCCATATTTGGTCTACCAAGTGCTCCTGTTATTTTTCTTAAAGAATATAATGCTATTAGTCCTCACCTAAAATCACGAGTTTTTTTCTTATCAGTATCCATCTTGCACATTTATAAATCTACCATTTGTCTATGCATTGAATAATGTTGCCATATTTGGTCTGGTGCTCCTGTTATTTTTTCTTAAAGAATATAATGCTAAGTCCTCACCTAAAACGAGTTTTTTTCTTATCAGTATCCATCTTGCACATTTATAAATCTACCATTTGTCTATGCATTGAATAATGTTGCCATATTTGGTCTGGTGCTCCTGTTATTTTTCTTAAAGAATATAATGCTATTAGTCCTCACCTAAAATCACGAGTTTTTTTTCTTATCAGTATCCATCTTGCACATTTATAAATCTACCATTTGTCTATGCATTGAATAATGTTGCCATATTTGGTCTGGTGCTCCTGTTATTTTTCTTAAAGAATATAATGCTATTAGTCCTCACCTAAAATCACGAGTTTTTTCTTATCAGTATCCATCTTGCACATTTATAAATCTACCATTTGTCTATGCATTGAATAATGTTGCCATATTTGGTCTGGTGCTCCTGTTATTTTTCTTAAAAGAATATAATGCTATTAGTCCTCACCTAAAATCAAGTTTTTTTTCTTATCAGTATCCATCTTGCACATTTATAAATCTACCATTTGTCTATGCATTGAATAATGTTGCCATATTTGGTCTGGTGCTCCTGTTATTTTTCTTAAAGAATATAATGCTATTAGTCCTCACCTAAAATCACGAGTTTTTTTTCTTATCAGTATCCATCTTGCACATTTATAAATCTACCATTTGTCTATGCATTGAATAA